GTGAAGTGTAATGTATTATATTACTAAGCGTTGTTGCTGTTTAATGTCTGTTTACCTTGTAATTTGAACGGTTTTCTGTTTAGAAGGTCTTCGTCTTCGTAGTACGAAAACGAAGACCGGGGGTCTTAGGTCTTAGGTCTTCGTTTTCGTAACACCCGTAAATCAAATCTCAAACGTCAAGTTTTCGGGCTTTTTTCGCGTTCTGTTCGCACTTTGATCATTAAAATATTCTCAACTGAAGAGCCAGCAAACACCACGAGTATCCACAGAGTTTGAAATGTCGGTGAACTTGTCATACTCCTTCATCCATCTTGAAACAATATTGCAAAAAGGTGGCGATCGACCAGTTAAAAACCTCGCAGAAATGCGTCGAAAACTTCACCAATGGCGCCGAACGCGAAAAACCAATTTCACTCGCGCATGCACAAACAAAATGCCTCTCTGTTGGCTGGCACTACTCCAAGAGCAGGGCCAGCTGGTCCAGAACCAGTTCTCTCAGTTCTTAAAACTAACGAGAACTGACGCATTTCATCTACGCTCGGTCCGAACCGACCTAGTCTCCCTTGCAGCCCTTTCCGGCGTCGTCACGCAAGCGAAAACACCCCCACCGACCGGTCAGTTCTGACATATGGTAAGCGCCCTCAGAGAACGAAGGTATGGAGTTCTGCTTGGTGACTATAATTTGGTTCATTCTCGGACTTTCTCTTACCCAAGTGGTTCATGGCGAGAAATGCGGAGGTATGAGAACTTACTTACTTGCTCTTTATAATACACCTTGTGAGTTTTTACGAACTATGAGCATAATTTTCTTCAATCATTGGGTTGGTTACGTTAGCATCTCCGAACAGTTTGCAAATGAAAGCGATTTGAATTTGAATTCGATTCAACATTTCTGTTTACGGTAGTCTGGTGAACATGATATGCTTCACCAATATAATAACACTTCGCTTTGTTAATTAACATCATAAGGAACAGGATATATCACGCAGGGTTTTATCGATTAAACCGAAATCGTACCCGCAAAGGAAAACACTCGACCACATGGAATGTCATCATACTCACCAGCTGTCGTTCAAAGTTCAGAGAGAAACTTATTGCCAAAAATGCTATTTTCACTTTCAAGCTAAGTTTTACATCCCGATTGAATTATAGACTTCAACAAAATTTCTTTTCGAGGGCGAATAAGTGGCAGGCGGGCTGGCCGCGAAGAAGGCCAACGGTTTAGGAAAGAGCTTAAATATGTAAATTCTCTGCTTATGCACAAGAACACAATTACTAGTTAGAGCGTGTGCTTAATTTAAAATTTAAGTAAAAAAGATCACGAAATCCGTTCATTGATTTTATCCGCCAAAGTAATGTGGTTTTTCGCCACTCTTTTGAGTCTTTGCATACTCCCCCTCCCCTCCACAGGGAAAATGATATTAGGGACTTCAAGCAAACCACGACGGCTACGGCAACGAGAACGTGGAAAAACAATCGATTTAATATGCAGAACAATAGCCCAGCACATGCGTTTTGAAACTTTGTACATTTCTTAGCCGTCCTTTGCAAAACAACAACGTGAAATCACCAAAATTTGCGTCGTCTGCGAAGCGAGACCGCGGCGGCAAATTATTTTAATTTACATTTGGAACTGATCGCTACTTTTAAGCGTTATGTTGCGTTTGAGGTCTGGCGCCCTCTGAGCTGAAGGAGCGTGATTGACGTGAATGACAGACATGGTGAGCACAGGGTGCAGCTGCTGTTAATGTTTGTCACGCAGTCACGCAACATCTCTGTTCACAAATTATGTCGGTAGAAAATTACACTCTTTTATTTCCAATAGAACCTTTTTCATAAGAACGTTCAGACTGATATTTACTAAAATTTTAAGAACATACTGGGAACATACCTAGGCCGAGAGTCGATTAAGAGCAGCTCATCTTCTTATTTTTGGTGAGAAGTAGAAATAAAAGGTAAAAGAAATGTAAAACTGTGGTCTTACCGGACAGTTAACTCTGTTGCTTGGAGACATTTTTTAACATTTAACCGACAATGCGGGTATTGCACTATACACTGAGGAACAGTGTAGGTGATCGTCAATGAGCACTCGAGGCTCGTTATGTATCCCAAAATGTTTCTTAGTCTCCTGTTTCAGGAGGAAGAAAAGCGAAGGTAGAAAGCCAAACATGAAATAATATCATTTAATGTAAAAGGTTAACAAGTATTATATACGGACGAAAAGTGAGGCTCAGTGAAGCGTAGCTTCTTCAGAAGTGCCTTAAACATAGCGATTTTGATATTTATATCGATTGAGAATTAAAAGTAATATGCAATCCAAATTGCTTCTGCAATCTTTGTCTGCAGATGTTTTTGACAAGTTTCTCGCATCTTGCTGTCCCGCAAAGTACCGCGATATCTGTTGTCCGTTTGCAAAACCGTGTAGCACTTCAGCAGCGGCACCTACCCCTAGAATGATAACATCAAGTCCAACGCAGAGAAGCGGAGAAAAACCTTTTTGTATGAAACCTCAAAACTCGTCAGCTTGTGAGGCGGGGTTTTTCTTCAACAGACATTCGCGAAAACCCGAACCCTGTCCTAAAGGTAAGTTTATTGTTACTTCATGACATTTGATCATTTTGCCGTTCCGAAGTCTGAACTCGCAACGGCATAGGGTAAAATATCGACTGGACTGGACTGGACTGGACTGGACTATTCTTTTGGATGATTTTTTGGACGATTTTATAAGCGGGGAGGCACACCTTTAGAACTCAGGGAGGGGTGGGTGCAGTCGACAAGTACTGAGGGAGGGGTGGGGGAAGAGTGTTATTACTCAGCGAGGGGTGGTAGGTGGTTGTAATAGTAAACACCACTGATTTTTGTTTGCTAAATTAAACTATGGTCAGTAGCCAAAGTTCATAGCAATGTCCAAATGCGGAAACTCAATAAAATGAGTTATTTCTTTCGCGGTTGATGGATAAGAGCTATTTACCATCAATTGCATTCGTGCGCTCATGGAATTATCGATGAATTATAAGTAGTAGAGCAGCGCAATTAAGAGAACAAAATTGTTTACATGATCTCGTGAGAGGAGTGAATTTAACCCTCAGCAGTTAAGGGATTGTGGAGATATTGACTTTGTAAATGTTTTCAGGCTTCTATTGTCCCCAGAATCAGGTCTGTATCGTACCATGCCCAACGGGAGCGTACTGTGTCAGAGATAAACTAGTTAACGCCACGGTAAGTTTTCTTTGGTTTTTTTTTCTTTGTTGTTGTTGTTGTTTTTTTCATTATCAACTCAAGACAGAGTGAGAGGAGCGGTGGCCTAATGTACAGTTTGTTACACTCAGGGTCGATAAGTACGGGTTCGACACTGGCTGAGTCTTTTGTGTTAAGTTTGTGGGCATAACACTCTGCCCAAGAGTCTGAATGGGTACCGGGGAATTGTCAGGGAAGCCTAAAGAAGTTGATGAAATGCTGAAGAGTAACCTTGCGATGGCCTAGTCACATGGGCCACTTCTTCTTGCTAGACACAAGGGGATTGTGTCTAGCAAGAAGAGGAGAAGAGATGACCAAATTCAAGGGACTTGCAGAATTGTATTTGTTGTAGAATTCAAAATTTCGCGCAGTGTTGTACAACGAACATCGTTTTCTTTATCTTGGAGTATGTTTTCCTCTTCGGGATAATCAAGTTTTCCTTCGCTTTGATACAGCTTTCGTTGTCTTGATCCATAACTATGAGTCACTTGTTGCAATATTTACATATTTTAGCCTCTCTCGTAAAAAGATTGAAAGCTGCAAATTGCAGAACTCGGAAGATCCAGACCGCTGGAGCGCACGGAATTAGCCAATCAGGTTCGAGGATTTAGGATATCGGACCGCTAAGATGCTTGAGAAAAACAATAAAAATAAAAAGGGCTCATATGAAAGTGATTTTTGAAATATTGCTGGAATACCTCGAGAGTGGGGTTATGGAGACTTAAAGGCTGTTAAATAGCTAAAATAAGTTTTTGGACAGAGGCCTAAATAAGCAATTTGACTTCCCCTATAAGTGGGGGAAAGGGGGGGGGGAGTTTAAGGGGGATTCGGATTCTTAGACAAAATAATCTTTTATTAATAAGAGGGTCTCAATGGGGTGCTGGCTTTTACGGTTATCGGCTAAAATTTTGGCTCTTTTACGGCTATCGGTTAATTTTTTACAGTTACGGTTAACAAAAAAGTTAAAAATTAATTTCTTTGGTTCCAAAAGGTTAAATATTAATAAACCTGTGTTTTTTTAATCTTTAAAGCAAAATAAAGGTGTTATGGTCATCTCAGGCTTAAATGAGTTATTCTTTTGAAAAAATTTAATATTTGATAAATCATACCACTTCTAATATTATTTCACGCATAGAATTGTGAACTTCGAAAAAGGATTCAATACAAGGCCTTACACAACTTAACTTACGTCATGCATTCTTACATTTACTTGTAGGAGTGGTGACCTGTTTGTCTTTATATGGTGTTATATGCCTGTTCAATTGTCTCAAAATATAGCCATGCTTGACGCCTCAAAATCCTTCAATGTACAGTCTAGCTTGTCTCGGGTACCTTTTTGTGCCTAGACATCAAACCGTGTCCACACCTTGACTTGCCTTCCGGACCTTGTTACTACTGGCTTACTGATGATAAGATCCTCTGAGTCGCTATCCGTATCAACATCGTTAATTTCAGAATCGGTTTCGTACTCCTCCACCTGGTTGAAATCAGCAGCAGACGCGAGCTTCACTTGCGGAATGTTGGAATGGCTTATGAAACTTAATGACACATCGGAGACTAGAGGGTTGACCTCAGAGGAGGCAGGGAGGGTTCTGTCGTCCTGGTCATCGGGAAATCGTACCTTTGGAGTAACATCCGGCTTTGGCTAGGCGTACGCTGCCGGGGACAAGGCTCCTGCCTTGTCTTTCGTCGTTTCACTCCTCACAGCTCTTTACCTCACTGGACGGTAATTCTCGAACCATTCCTTCGTTACTTCTTCATCCTTTTTCGACAGCCCCACAAAAAGAAGTGGAGTCATAAACTGCACGTCCTTGAATGACATTCCTGTTTGGGGCACTGTGTAGTCGGAAGATGGATGAGTATAGTATTTAGCCCCCCATTTTGTTATTCGCTTTAAAGATTCCTTCGATATCGTACCAAAGTCCATCGCATATTAAAGGGTGCTAAATGTCTCATGTTTAAAATGGGATACCGCATGTAGGTTCTCTACTTGAGTTGTTAGTAAAGTTTGCCAGTCAATGCTAACTTTGTACTCTGGGCTGACATTTGCGATATTTCTTATGAGGTTATTTACACCATTCAACAAGAGCTCGACAGAATCTTGCGTCTTTTTAGACACAGTTCCCTGAGGACCATTCGTTGCTGAACCTTCTTTGAGGTGATTTGTTTCTTTTACATTTCTTACCGCAGATTTGATGTAGTCGTTCACCTTCTCAACATTCTTACTTACCTCCTCTGGCGTAATTGTCTGAGAAGTACTACCTTTACAACCTATGCCAAAGCTGTCATATAAATTGCCCAGGTGACTTAAAAAGTTCGTTGTTCCCGACAAACCAGTAATCAGCTTGATTTTCCCTGGTGCCGCATCCGTTGTGAAAAGCGTATCTGCAACTCTACATATTCCATGCACTTGGACAAAGCTGCAACTTTTCTCATTTCCGTCCTGTTCTCCTTCACGTCCATCTCCGGCAAGAATATCAACTTTTTTGGTCAACGGATTGTAACGCTTGACTTGACGAGCCTCAATGTCTGTGAAGACTAGTGTGTCATTAAATTTTGCTACTTTCTTGACCTCCTTGCAACTGTTTGTCATGTTCTCAAGAATAGTCATGACCTCGCCGGTTTCCATGCTAAAACAATAAAGGCCACCGCTACATTGGCCACTTTTTGCCGCTGTGAAGTAAACACGTGGAGCATTAGAGACTGTTATGGATTCCAGGCGATAAGCACCCTCTGGATATCTTACGAGTTTCCTCGATTTGCCTTTTATGGTGACTCCATCTCTTTCTAGCTGACTCTGATAGATAGCTCGGTGACCATCATCAGCGCACAATAGTATGTCATCACTAACCATACACAAAGCTGCAGGCTTTGAAAGCAGCACATTAGTTTGCAAAACAAATTTCGTCACCTCGGCTTCTAGCTGGTCTAAGTGCTGAGAAAGGCCCTTGCGTAAGGCTGGGACGGTTCCATCCAAGGAGAGGTTGTAGTTTCCCAGTATTCTCTCCAGATCAGCACGTGAACGTAGAGAGTTGGGGTCTAGTCTAACGTTCCCTTCAATGTCTCTAAATCTTACGCAAGCGTTACCTCGCTCTGCCATAAAGGCTACACCTCTACTGAAGCATAGATCTCTCGCATCTCAGCCCATTTTGAAGCTCTGTTACATCGGCTGGTTGGTGAAGTCTTATCTTGAGTAATCGAGAGCAACAGGAAACAAAATTGTAATCAAGTGCCAAAACACTACCAAGAGGTCCAGGAGAGATAGCAACAGGATGACAACAAAGACCTTGTTGATTTGAAGTCAAAAATCTATACTTCTCCGGAACAAGTGTGTGTACCACAAGTGCCGCCTTTCTTAATACTTTTACCACCTCAGGTCTGGTTAGTCGTGCTATTGGCTCGACTGCCATCCCATCTTTATTTCTGACGCATTCTAAGGTCAGCAATTTTCTCAAAGGTTTGCGGACATCACAATCTGTTGAGTATCTCAACGTGCGGATTAATACGAGATTAGACATTTGTCCATTCAGATCTATGAACCAGTTAGCCCAGCTGCATTTGAGACTCTTACCGATGTGAACAACATCAGGGAGAGGGGTTAGGAGCAGAAGCTCAGGCGGCATGTTGTGGTTTTCCGACATCTTCTGGATTTCTAAAAGAGCCTGCTTAATACATTCCTCACAGTCTGTAACAACAGCCAGAACTGCGACTTTTCTACATTGAATAGACTCCTTTAGGCAGGACTCACAGCATCTCAATGCTGGTAAGTAGGCGACGTGACCTTTTCTTTGGCAATCTTGGCAGATACCTTTCATTTGGAGACAGGTGTCACATTTACTGTTACAGAGCGCATTTTCATGTGTAACGATGTGGTTCTGCAGGGACTGCTTCGTCAGACAGCGTTCACAGACTTGTAGAGTTTTTGCTTCCCCAAGTATCTGCGACAACATCTTTTCACCAGATACGAATTTCGGATGGTAATGAACACCAACTGGCATCATCGAGCTGTTGTCGACTGACGTCATAAAAGTAACTTCAGCGCTTGTAATGAGATTTTTTTTAATTTCTTGAGGGTCAGGAACAGGGTGGTCGCAGACATAATTCCAGTCTACTTTAAAGGTTAAGCCAATGATCCTTTTCTGCCTAATATCGAATTCTAGGCCTGGTTTAAGAGCTGTTCCATCCTTAGCCAGCGATACTCCTATGACTTGGACATCGTCGGTTTCCACTAAATAGTTGATATCAGCTTTCGAGTGATCAGAAAACGTATGAAAAGATTGCAAATGAGGCTTAATTATCCCACTATCCGTTGTGTAACCTGCTTTGCAATGATTAGAGGCATTAATGGACGGACCACAGTGATTAAAATCTGAAAAAGTTGTAAACTGTTTTTTTCCACCGCGTCCAGTTCCATGAAATCCTGGGCCTCTTACAAAATTTCTCGTTCTTTGACTCCCTAGGTACTTAATGGTTTAAAAAAACTCACAGACCTCATGGTCCCAATGGAAGTCTGACGCCTTACTGGAGTCGATCATGGCAAAAGACGTTGTATCGTTAAGAAACTTGTAATATAGACATTCCCCTGGGATCTTACCTTCTTTGATAAGTTTGTTCAGCTTTTCGGCTAATGGATGAGCACTCTCTACGCAGCTGTGGAATAGAAAGACATCTATAA